GCCGGCGCCCTCGCCCCCTCCCCGTCACCCTAGCGACGCTGCCTGGGGGGCGACCCGGGGGGACGGGCCTAGGGGAGGGGGCGCCGGTAGCCTCCACCTGCGCGGGGAAGTGAATTTGAGTTTTCAGCGTTGTCGTGGCAACGCGGGAGGGGCTGCCGAGTGGGCGAGGAGAGGGGAGCGCTGGAAGGGAAGGCAGGGCCGCCCCGGTGCAGCAGCCGCCAGCTCCAGGGATCCCAGGACTGCCCGGCCCTGGAAGCGCCCCGTGGAGAGCAGCCAGCACCCTCGTCGGGCTCCGGAGCAGTGCTGGCTCCCGCAAAGGCCCTGGTGCGTCCTGAACCCCCAGACTAGGCCCTGACCCGCGGCCTTCACAGCGCCCCTGACGCCAGGGGCCCTCTGCCCACTCCCAAGGCCCCGGCCTCTGGAGCCCAGGGATGGCGCCCCCCCCAACGGGGCCCCTCCCCAGAGCAGCCGCACCTGCCCACCACAAAGCCCCAGACAGACCAGGGCTCCCCTCTGCCCCGCGGACAGGGCAGCCCCAGAGCAGTGTCCTCTGAGGGGACATGCTGACCCCTGAGGGCACCGTGTGTCCCCCCCGGCCCCCGTGCCCCCCGTCCCGCGGGGAAGCCTCTACCTGCGGCGCACCGACCGGACCACAGCTGCCCCTCCGCTGCTGTCCGGCGTCTGCCGCCCTGTCCTGCCCTCCCCCGCCTGGACCCTCCCTGGCGGAAGTGGGGCCCTCTGCTCTTCCCAAGGCCACTGGCCTGGACCTTGGACAGCCGGGATCCCAGGGGGCCCGGCAGGATGGGAGGCGGGAGGGGCAGGAAGCCCCCTTATCTGCAGGAAGCACCTGGGGAAGCCGGCCGTTTCCTGGCCCACCCGGCAGGGAGGACGCCAGCTTCCCGCCTCGCCGCGTCTCCACCATCTTCCTGCCCGGCCGCCCCCCCAGAGCCTCCCACCCCTGCCGCCCTGCTGGCCCGGCCTGGCCTCCCTGGGGCAGCCGGCGCCCTGCCCCTGCCTCACCACGCCAGCAGCAGGAGGGCAACGCCCACGTGCCCGCCGGCCGCAAGGGCCAGGCCCTCCCGCCGCCCCCCAACTGGTGGTGCCCACCCGGCCCTCGGGGTCTCCCCACCCCCGGTCCTCACCCTCGCCGTGCAGCGGGCCAGGGGCACAGAGGACCCAGCGCCTGGCATCTGCACCCGCCCGCACAGGCGCAGAGGCCTGGCCG